ATTTAACCAAATTTGTCAAAATAGTTTCTTCCTATAAAATTCACAAAACTCTGTTATTTTAAGATATAATTGCTGTAAACTGTTAATAATACACATTGTATGCTATTTTTAAAATGAGGTTTTACAAAATATAATACATGTATAGCAAGTTCATAAAACATAGATGTACAGCTTGATTTTTCAAAAGCCAAACCCCTGTGTAACCACAGTCCAAGTCAAGAAAAGTAGGTTATTAACAACTCAGATTCTCTCTCCCCACTTTGCATTCTTCGCCAGTCACAACTGGCTGGTTCTCTGTTAAAGTAACCATTACCCTGACAGTTTGGGTAATAATTTTTCTTGCTTTACTATAGTACTTTTTTTTCCAACTAAGAATGCGTTCCAAAACATTATAGATTATTTGAGTCAAATCTTACATACATGCATATGTATACATATATGGATATGTATTATTCTATATCTGCTTCTTTTAATTAACATTTTCTGTGCGATTCATTTATGTTTTACCATGTAAATATAATTTACTAATTTTCCTTGCTGTATGCTATTACATTATTATATCACCATTTATTACTATATAAACCTATACAATATGTTGGGTATACAGTTTATTAATATTTTAAACTATTGATACACAGTTGGAACTCCTAAGACTAATGCTACAATGAACATTCTTGTACATATGCCTCAGTGCACATGTATACACATTAGTGTTGAGTTTATATTAGAAGTTAAGAATCAAACTCTCATTGGCTGTATGTGAGCTTTTACATTACTACATGTCCTCACCAACACTGAGCATTTTCTGTCTTTTTAATTGTAGCCACTTTGGAATATATACACAGAAAATGCATAATGTTTTTAAACTCCATTTTTTTGTAGTTTTATGGTTTTAGTTCTTACATTTAAGTCTTTAATTCATTTTGAGTTGATTTTTGCATATGATGTGAGATAAGAGTCCAATTTCAAGTTGGACTGTGGATATTAAGTTTTCTGAACACCATTTATTGAAGAGACCATCCAGTCCCCATTGCGCATTCTTGACATCTTTGTCAAAGATCAGTTGAGCATAAATGCATTGATTTATTTCTGGGATTTCCATTCTGTTCCATTAGTGTGTGTGTGTGTGT